AATTAATAACTAATTTGATGTGTGCCGCGCTGATCGCGGTGCATTTTATCGATTTGGACAGCGCCCAGGCCGCATTTGGAGCAACAGTTGCGTTGCGGTGCGGGGGGTTGTCCAGAAGTAGCAACGATTGAGAATCGGAATCAGAATCAGAATCAGAATGAGAATGAGAATGAGAATGACGCTGGCGATATCGATGCGACGTTTTCAAGCACCTTCGATGCAGCCAGCAGCTTCAATCAAGTGATTGAGCAGGGTCCATGCGATACGTGACAGTGAATGCAACACAAGCGGGTCGGCGGAGGGCATATAGTATCTTGAGGTAAAACTATAAGTAGACAACCTTTGATTTGTGGCAACTTCTAGATGTGATTAGGGCTGTTGAGGTTCAGAGAAAGAAGATAGGTCATATGATTTTATTGACTGTGCTTCGGAATTCATTTAAAGAAATCTTTACAAATATAAATTATCTTCGCGTTGAACAATTTGAGTAATTTCTGCAGATTGTTAGCTTTCTAAAAAAAGAGACCCGATAAGCAAAACTACAGTAAATGTTTGACATTCGAAGCTTATCAAACATTTTTCTTAAGGAATATATTAAATTATTTGATGAAAAATAGAAAATGATTAGAACTATTGGGTTTTTTCAGCCATTTAAACAACTGTAGATTAATAAATAATGTTTAAATAATTAAATGCTTTTTTCTAATATTCGCAGTCTGAAATTATTTGTAATACAACATATATTTTGTAGATTTTATAGAGATCTGATTATTATATTAACTCGGCTTAATTATTACCCCACAATTATATTGAATTTGTTACTAGTCTACCAGTTTGTTCAATGAAGTAGATCAAAATTGATGCTTTGGCAAAAATGATAATTGTAAGAATACCCGCCTAAGGTTATAATTTATGTCTTAAAATCTGTAAGAGTTTCTATGGAGATCTGATTATAATATCAAATCAACTAAATTGGTTTTCTAATCTTCTTTTCAATTTTATCCCATTCTACAAGCAGATCAAAATTGAAAGGTTTCTCGGTAATCGTCATGTTTTCCCAGACAACAAAATAAATTTTGACGTTTCGATTGCAAAACTGATACTTGTAAGAATACCAGCCACATTTTCCCGAGATAACGTTACAAGAAATGTCTGAGCCTAGTTATTAGGAGGCGTTCTCGAAATTATATAATTAGTATACAAGTCGTGTGAGTCGGTCGTTGAGTAATGTTGAGTTATGAACAGTTAGTGCAGCGCATTTTCAGATCTATGGAGCAAATCGCTTTATGCGAGCAGAACCAGTCGGATCTGCGTTTGGATAATTATGGCTTATTGTAGTCCGAACGTATGTGAATTCTGTTTGAACGCTGGCGCAGCTGCTCCACACAGGTTCGCCCGCTCCGCCTACTGCCCGAGATCCCCCCGATACTCCAGCTGCATCGCCTTGTCAAGCGGTTAACCGCCTGGCGTGCCAGGCAAAATAAATCACTTGGCTAAATACCCCAAACGTTGTTTGGGCCCAACGCTTGCGTTTGCGTTTGATTTTTCTTTCTTTTTTCTTTTGCTTTGCTTTTTGCACTGCAAAACTTCAACAATAAATAACCAAGTCATATTTTTCACCTCCGTTTGCCGCTGTATGCAGTTGTTGTTGAGTCATTTCCTGGTTTTTGAACTTCACACACACACCTAGAGAACAAGACCCACAGAGATCAAGGCAGTTGGAGTGGCAAACCTGGGCACATTAACGAGCATATTACCCACTATCTGCACCAAGAGAAAATATGCAAAATTGTTGCCAGCTCTAAGTCCAAGTCGCAGTCTCAGTCGCAGTCGGAGTCGGAGTCGGAGTCTGAGTTGAGGCTGGAGTTGGAGTTGGAGTTTTAGTCGAGCTGCAAATCATTAACATCTCTCCTGGGCCAGAACCAACCTCCTCGACCAGAGCACCACGAACATATTTTGCACGTGACCTTATTTCCCCCGCACTTCCAGAACCAAAGACCAAGAAAAGCTGCTGCTCTGATGTGGTGTGCGGTTTTTTTGTTATACCCCTCAACCCATCGAAACAGGGTAAAAAGGGTATAATAGAGTTGTGCTAAATTACGCATCAAATATAAATATATTCTTGATGAGGGACAGTCGCCCAGCGACTTGCAGAGATAGAGACTTCAAATTTTGAATGCAATTTCTCGATCACCAACCCAGTTCAAGTTTATTTAATTATTACCGAAAACTTCATAGGCGTTCGAGATATAGATGAAAATCGTTTAAGAAGTCTCAATTCTCAATATGTAGACACATTTTTGGGTATATTTATTCCTTGACTATAATATTGATCAATACTGATCTTCGTCATATTTAGCAAAGTTCATAGCAGCAAATCTTTTCAGTGACTTAGCTTGAGGGTGTCTCCTAGTCGAGCTGGCTCTTGACTGGAGCATGCTTGCTGGATTTTTTTGGTGGTTGCTTGCTTGCTGGCTGGCTGGCTTAGCAGCAACATCAATTTTCGATCACGTTTTAAGTGTCTTGCGCCGTTCGCGTCGCCATCGCCATCGCCCCAGCCATCATCATCGCCATCATCATCATCGTCGTCATCGTCGTCATCGTCGTCATCGTCGTCGTCGTCGACTCGTAGACCAAGTTAAATGATTTAAAACCAACAAAAAATATCGTGCCAAGTGCTGCATATTGCACATTGTGCCCAGAAACCACCAACAGCAACAACAATAGCAGCAACGTCAGTCAGTCAGTCAGTCAGTCACTCAATCCCAATCGCATCCGAACCAATCCGTTAGACGGTGCTGGCCACGTCGCGTTGCATCGCATCGCTGCTGATTGTTGCCTTGGCTAAGGCTAAGCTAGGTAAATTTGGCACTCCAAGAGCGAATCGAAGCGGGAACAGCTATAAAGCTATACAACTATACAGCTATACAGCAAGCACTCACTAAACTGCATTATCACGCCTCTCCATTGCATTATTGGCAGCGGCAGCGGCGGCAGCAGCAGCAGCCGCATCGCCATTTCCATCACATCGTGTAGGTTAAGGTGAAAACAAGCCAGAGTCACAGAGACGATCTGAACGGAGTGGAGCGGAGAGTTACGGTGGATGCTGGAATGCCCAGTGAAGCATCGATCCTAACTACACTTCACTAAGCAGCCACAAAAATATATCTGACAGATGCGACTGGCGTTCACTCGGACGTGGATGCGGACGTGGTTCGCATTGCTACGATTCGTTGTGCTATTCACATTTAGGTGTCTACTTAAAAAATCAAAAAGTTATACAATCCGAGCCAAAACGACATTGCAGTCGAGAGCTGGCTGACTGGCCAACCGCAGGCCAAAAACACCAAATACCAAACTAAACATCAAATCTTAAATCTTGACTTTGATATACCCTCTACTAATGCTTTTTTGATAATTGAAATTCAGCTAAAAACATAGGGATATATGTAATCTTAGCAAGTCAAGGATAGACAAAAAAAAACATTTAACATATTTTAATAGAGCTAGAGCTATAAATCTTATTAATATTTTTTATTTTTATAATTTAAATTTCATTTTAAATCTTATTTTTAATTTGATTTTGTTACTTTTGTATTTTTTTATCTACTGAAATTAGTTGACATTAAATAAATAAATAAGAATGCATTGAGGATTTTTGTAATATAGTTAGTTAAATAATTTGATAATTACTACGAAATCCAATAGTCAGAAGCTAAACAGAGTCATTAATTTATTGTAGGACAAAAATGGAATTAAAAGTTACGTTTATACCAAACGGAGATAGTGAAGAATTAATTAAGATTTTAAGGCTTCTATTGCTTATAACCACAAATATATTAAGAAGTGTTTATTAATTCTTGCCCATTTGATTTCCTATTTAATTCAACAGCTATCATATATCATATATATCATATACCCACTTTTTTGTGCGGGGTACAAAAACCGCAAAAAAATGACGTGGCAAATAAAACAGAGCGACGTCTGCAACTGGACAGATAACTGGGACTGAGACTGAGACTGAGACTGCGACCCGAACTGAGACAGACTGGGAGACAGAGGCCCCAGATCGAAGACGCAGGCTTCGAGTTTGCTTTGCGGTCTTGGCTTGTGTGCCTTTCATTGTGTGGTGTGAATGTTATGGAAATTTGTTAAGTTCTGCATACACAAAACTCGAAACCCGAAAAGCACTTGGCAATTTGCACGAAAGTTACCTCGAAACGGCATTGCCAGCTGTGAGTTTCTCTGTGTGCTCTAAGGGGGATGACAAACCAGGAGGCAGGGAGGGAGAGAGGGAGGTGGACATATGCGAAATAAGTTTTTTTAGGTTTTCACATCCAAACAAGCGAGCAAAAGGTATACAAAAGGCTTCTTCTTAGTGGCGGACATATGTGACAGCTTTATTGGATTCCCATACACACCCAAAGCTATTTAACAGCACCGGCAATTGATATATGTACGTAAGAAGAGTCAGAGAGAGAGAGAGAGAGAGAGAGAGAGTGAGAGAGGGGAAACCAAGCGGACAGAGATTTGTGTTTGGACTCGCTCAACTCGCTTGAAAATGATTTGTCAGTTATGGATTTGCTGCAGGTAATTGGGGATTCGAGGCGATTGAGGGGCAGTAAACCGCCTAATGCATTTGGTATTCAATAATTTAAATGCTATTGGAACTTGAAGTTGAAGTTTTCTCTTCTATATACAATTGGTTTAGCCAGCTGCTGATTGATTGAGAGCTTAACTCGCTATTTCCTTTGAGTTGATGATTTGTATGGATGGTGAGTTGGGTCCTTCAGTCCTTGAAATACCACAATATCATGTATCATGTGTATCATGTATAAGATGAATAATAGGCTCTTTCAAGCGCATGAGGATGTCTCCCTAATCCTTGAAGACTTATACAAAATATTCATTCCGGTGAATCAGATGGATCAGCATGATGCCATGCTAAACATATATCAGATTTTTAAAAAAAGGCACATCCAATTTGTAAAGCATTTTTTTGTTGTGTAGAAAAAATAAATATTTATTTTTTGCAAGTGCGTAAGTGAATTGAAGTGAATCAGTTGATAATGTTTGATGCAATAGAGAACGTAAGTGTACAAATACAAATAAAGAGAGTTACACACAATCGTAATCCTTAATATATATATAAATAAACTACGACTTGAAGAAATAGTCGTCGCCCTCCTTCGCAAACAGGAGTTCGTCCGTTCCCCCCATTTCGTCCGAATCGCTTGGAACAATTGATATTTTCTTTTTCCTCATTTTGTGTGTGACCTGGGAGAAATCGGCAACAATGGCTGATATCTTGCGTTTGCCTTCTTCGTCGGCCAATTGCTGCTCAAATCGCTTGGCAATATCAAGAAGACTTATACCATCCTGATAACCCTCGAGTATTTGTTCTCGATTGGACCAGTTCATTAACATTTTTGGGGTGCACTCCTCGTAGATGCGAAAGATCTTGAAGTTGTGCTCAAAGATCTGTGACAGTTTACGCACATGCATCTCATTAATGTTGGGTATGCGCAGATTTGGCTGTCGTATTATGTAGTATGGGTCATTTTCCTCTGAGAAGTTGGCATAGCGCACCGAGGGCCAGTCCAACGATAGGATGGTGTTGTATAACTTTTTCGGGTGGCCGAGAATCCCGTGCGACACATCGATCAAATGCAACTGCGGCCCCGGCACAATATACTCCAGCTCGACCTCGGCTATGCGATGATCAGATCCCCTATATTTCCGTTCCCCGATCCATAGTAGGGGCATGTCTTCGTGATCAACATGCTTCAGGTCCTGAATCAATGGCGAGCACTGCACGCGATAGTTAAATATCTTATAATTGCGCCCAAAGAGCAAGCTGCGTTCGACGGGCGTGAACTTAATATACTCTTTGCGATTCATTAGAAAGTGTTCGGATCGGAAGAGTCGATTCATTTCCATCTCGATGATAAAATAAGCCCGTCTGTGCATGGTGATCCAAACGATCTGAATCAGCACAGCCAGGAGCTGCTCGTGAAGAGCTCGATCCTTGATCTTGGATGAAATGTTGACGATCTCCTTGGTATGGTAAAACTTTTTCAGATCACCCTCGCCACTTATAATCATGCAGTAATTTCTGGCGACCAGCATGCGATATTGACGCAAGTGGGTAGAGAATATTCGCTTCATCTCATTGGTCTGCTCACTTTGTACTTGGGCCATTTTGCACGCTAGCTCGTCCCGTCGGATCAGAGTAAACTCAACCATGCGCAGAAAGTATTCAAAGTAGATGATTAGAGAATGGATCAGCCTGTGCACCGCCGGCTGATGTATAAGCGATAGAAACTTTTTTGACAGAAACTCCTTCGGCATTAGGAATAGCACGAGATCGCGCACATCATTGATCACCACAGTGTCCGTGTCATATGTGGTGTGGGGACGAACAAACTTCTTGCGAAAGATAACCTCTTCAGTCGGATTGAGGGTGCGAAGAAATTGGTATCCATTTGTATCCATATAACGCTCGTCTGCATGCTCCAAATCGAAATGTTGCTCAAAGTGCAAGGCATCTCCCTTGTCATCCCAGGACCACTTGCCACTCTGATACTTGGGCTCGGAGTTAGTCACATGAATGCGATTCATCGTCGACCTCAATTGGAAAGTATGGAATAGTATAATAAGAAATTGTAATGTATTCATATGACAGTTTGTTATTATGTTTAGTGTTTTATTTATGGTACATTGTATATTTTACTCGAATGTGACTGTTACTGTGATCAAATATATATGAGCTTACAAAAGTCGAGACAATATATAACACTGATATACAGAATTGGTCTCCCATTTATGATGTCAAAATTGCTTGGTATAAATATTGCATTTGCATTTTATTAAATTTCTGCATAATATTACACCAAATCATAATAATTATTTAGAAATATATTATAGAGATTGTCACAGTAGGCAGGATGCAGTGAGTGGGAGCTCTTAAGATTCTGTCAAGTGACCACAGTAGTTGAATCCTGTCAGCCCACCTGGCAAGTCCTGAGAACCGGAAAGCACCACACAATCTGAGATGTTGAAAGAACTCCTTGTCAAATGTTCACACAAATGGTGTGTGGACATGTGCAATTTTCAGGCAGCTATTTGTGGGGTATTTTTATTGAATGGAAAGCGACCAAAATTAAGACTATAGATACACAAGGGAATGAAAGCGAAACGAAGACCGAGAGATCGAGTAAGAGAGGGAGGGAGAGAGTTCTTAAGCCGAAAAGAAAACTACGACAAGCGATCGATCAAAATAAATCACAAATGTATAAAAACATTTGGGTAAAGAAAACTCTAAGCCAGCAATTGTGCGCACAATTTTCCAATTTTCCAATTTTCCAATTTACCGTCTGTGTTTTGAGTAAACAAACGTTTTGCGTAACAAAAGGAAACACGAAGCGGAAAGGCAAGAAAACTGCCCGCCTGGCGCAACGAATCTGCCCAAAAGGACGCAGATACAGTGCACAAAGGAGCAGCTGTCAATGCTGTAAGACATATTAACAGAAAAAAGGTAGATGGACAGATATATGAGGTACTGTGCGGCATAGGTAGAATCAAACTGAACTGAACTGGGCGAGAAGTACAATTGCTTTGCTCTGCTGGCTAAACATGCCTTAAGAACAGGGCCCAAAAGGCAGCTAAAGGAAAAAAGGACAACAGCTGGTTGTGAGACGCACCGCAGGACCTTTCCCTAGTCAAGACTCAGACTGGGTGCTCTTTGTTAGACACGGCCAATTGCTTGGAAATTTGGATGCGCAAATGTATATATATATATATATATGTATATCCTTGCCGTAGCACGCAGGTAGACGACCAAATTGTGTGGTCTGTGCTCGCGGTCAATTTAGCGGGGTATAGAGCGTATAGAGAGAGAGAGAGAGAGTGCAAACACTGCACGGGGCAATATATCAATCCCAACTGCGGTTGACCCAAACCATGACACTAATCATAGCTCAAGCGTTAAGGCGTTGATAGTTGATATGCACTGGCCTAGGTACTATGAGAGACTTTGACTTTTCGCTTCCCGAAACTCATTAGAGTTTTACTTCAACATATTTTGAAATCTTTGATTTTTTGCTGTTGTTGTTCGTCTCTTTCTTGCCTTGAGCGCTAAACAAAATGCCATGCAAAAAATCTTAATAAATTCATCAAAAATCAGCAGCAAGCATCTCACGACCAAACAACACCAAGCTGAGGGTATTGGTCAGGGAGTACGGGGTAAGGGAGCAGGGGAGCAGGGGGTGGCGAAGCGGGCGTGTGTCAGGCGTCGCTGCTAAAAAAAATCAATGCCAGGTGATCGTCAGCAACATATTTCAAAACACAAGCTAACAAATATATTTTGCATTTTGTCCTTGCCTGCTCTACCCCAAAACAAAAAGCAAGGAAAACCAGCAGTAAGAAGACCAAAAAAAAAAAATAAATAAAATAGCTGTTGCTGCTGCAATCGGACACGTTTCTGGCCGTGCCAGTTAGCCAGTTAGCCGGTTTCGGACTTGCAACATGCGACTTGCAACTTCGGCGGTGGAGGCGTCTTTACACATTTGCATGCTCAAACAGCAATCGATCACAGGCAGCAGCAGCAACAACAGCAACAATCCAGAAGACACCGTTCACCAAGCCATATGAGGAGCAGCCACATAGGCTGACGAGGTGGGCTGAGGTGTGCCACGGGGGGCGGGGGGGATTAAACTGGTTTATTTATGCTGGCCTGCCGCCTGCTCGGCGTACACATGCGAATGAGACAGACAGAGAGGGCCAGACTTGGGCTGAGATTTTTGTTGATCGCTGGCTGCGTTTTTGGTGTGCCAGGAGCAAGAGCAGTAACAACAACAACAACAACAACAGCAACGAGCTGCAAAGTGGAGGTTAAAAAAATTTGCAAAAATATTAACGAAACGTAGGCTGCAACGGTTGCTGCTGTTGTTGTTGCATCTTTTGTTGCTCGCCTTTTTCCACTGCAATGTGCAATTATAGCGCATGGTTAGCCTGGTATCGGCAAAGGGAGAGGGCCAAGTGCTCAGTGCTTTTGGACTGGGCGGTTTGTTGAACTTTGACAGGAAGTTAAGAGCCCAGCGACCAGACAGCAGCAGACTACGACTAAGACTAAAGCTGATGCTGATGCTGAAGATGAAGCTGACGCGCTGAAGCTGAAGCCTGGCTGCCTGTTGCTGATGTTCAAGTTGAAGTTTTTTCTGCATGCGTCTTTTTTTTTTTTTTTGGATGCTGTGACTTGGCTTTTGTTTGTTGCTGGCTTGCTGCTGCTGCTGCTGCTGCTGTTGATGGGTGAAGGTTGTGGAGGAAATGGACTTGCAGAGTGCTTCAGACAATTGACAATGTGAAAACGATGTCGATTAAGTTGCTGCTGTTGCTTGCATACGATGGACAGACACGCGGACAAATGGACTGACTGGGGGAGACAGACAAGAGCCTCGAAAAGGGCACCACAAAATGCTCTTAACGATCAACGAAGCCACAACGCAAAGTTATGCGAGATTCGATTGTTGCCTCTCCCATCTCCTCTGTACCTGTCCCTGCCCCTGTATTTACCTCATCCTAACTGACTTTGACTCTGCTGGTGTAAATTGTTTTAACAGCCTTGAAGGATAAGCAGCCACTGGATTGCGGTTGCCTTCAACAATATTGTGAACCAAAATTTGCACAAGCTGTTCTGATTCTCAGGCAGCATTTTTTGTTTGATTAATTTTTTTGTTGACCAGCTGAGGAAGACATTAAATTGTAAATAATTTAAGCACCATTTTAAATTATGTTTGAGCCATCTGAAGAAGCCATTTAATATCAATGTCAAGTTTATATGTCATTATCTCATTTTTATTGAATTCTCAAGATATTAACTGATTTTATGTAAATATGTAAAATCTCGAAGTAAAATAATCGAATACAAATCGACAACTTTGCTTGTGCAACGTTAATATTTAATCATAACAAATATAAAATAAAAGAACTATTTGCGAATAATATTTATTTTAGACTTTAAAAATATAATATTATAAGTACTAACTTTGAATAATTAGCTAAATATTTGTATTTTAAAAACTCTTTAAAAAAACATTAATATTTTAATTTTGATTTTGGAAAAAAGTGCTTATATTTATTTTTGAACTCAAATATCGGATAAATATGTATAAGCTTGTAAATTTTGAAATTTCTTACTTATAACTTTAACAGGTATATATACGAGTATATATATTATTTTGGTGGATGAAATGTTTGTATTTGCTTAACATTTTGGTTAGGTGCTGAACAATATATGGGGACATGTATTTAAATATATATGAATTTATAGAGTTTAGATTATGAAAAAATAAAAATCAATTCAAAAATAAAAATGTAGTTTTATAGTTAAGGTCGATCTCAATCATTACGTTTGTTGCGTGTTCGCCTACGAGGTTTACAGCACACAGCCTCACAACCTCCGTCGAACTTGCATCTTGCATCTTATCGGTGCAATCAGCTTTTGCCACATAGTCAAGTGATGTTGCTGATAGGGTTTACACCATAAGAGATCTTCGCCTTAAGTTTGTAATTACTGTAATATATCCCTAGTGCCATCATGAGCTTCGGAGCTTCCAGGCAGCATTCTCACATTCTCTTCATGGCTGGCATCCTTAACGGCCTGAATTGCTCAAACAACTGCGGGGCACTGGCTGAACAGCGAACAGCAAACAGTGGCCTCATGCAACAATTTCAGCAAGTTTGCAAAGTGGAAATAAAAATGAAAAAAAAAAATAACAAAAAAATTGAAAACTAACTGCTCCCTGTTTATATTTATATTATATTACGCTTCGTGGCAAGTCAGCAATAACAACAACAACAACAACAACCACAACAATAGCAACAAGTGAATTTAACTCGTCTGGGGGTGTGTGTCTTGGCTAAAGAGTAACGTTTATGCCGCTCGAAGACTTCTCATCCCCGAGCTCTGCGCAGGCGCGCGCTCGCACAAGCCGACAACTCTCGAAATAATTATGGAAAATGCGTTCTGCACTGGACAGGGAAGGGGTGCGGATGGGATGGCTTCCTTTGCATGGGCTTGAGCATGGGCATGGGCAATGAGCTATGATGAAAAACAACAAGCTCATAATAAATAATAACCATGCCGGCTGCTAGGCTGGCAGGCAGGCAGGCAGCCAGGCAAGCAGGCAACACGCGGCCAGCGGTGCGCGGGGTAACAAGCGCTAATTATCGACAACAAGCTAAAACAGTGGCCTACAATTACGCAGCGACGCAAGCAGCAGCAGTGGCAGTGGCAGTGACAGCAACAGCGGCAGCGGCAGCGAAGCCAGCTGAAGGCGCCCTACGCATTACCAAACTAACTGGCCTGGAAAATATAACGACCTGGCTCCGAGTTTGTGTTTGAGTCTGACTCTGTGCCTGGTCTTGGGCCAGGCTTACCTGTTGAAAGCTGACGACCGTCTTCGAATGGGGCATGTGTGTGTGGATGCTGCTGCTGTTGCTGCTGCTGGTGCTGCTGCGGATGCAACGTCGCCCATTAAAATTTACACAGCTCTTTTTAAGCGACCATCGTCAACGCAGCCTCGCAGCCCCAAAGACTCACAGCCTCGAAGGCCTCGTCATCTTCGGCCTTTCTCCCATTGGCGGCGATGGCGCAAACTTGTTAACTTCTTGGCATGATGGTCATCA